AATGCTTAGTTTTTGCATGTCAGGGGTTTCATATGTGGAAGAAAATACCATAGGCTGTGTGTCTTAAAGTATTTGGATTCATCTTTAATTCAACCTTTGATGAAATTATCTAAGTAAGTTTGTAAGCTTGTTGAAGATAAATCATCAGTGCTTTGATTTTTTTTATCTCTCCTTTACCTGATTTAAAATTAAATTTACTGGACAATCTTACAACATACAGAACAAAACATAAATGCATTGGAAAATGATAACAGCTTGTAAATCTGCTGTCAAAATCAGCGTGAAAAGACAGTTCAATGTCTTCATATTGTATCCCTTGATTTCAATACAGAGCTGGTTGTTTTGCTGCAGTCAGATGTAGTGCTTGCATGTTTATTTTCCTACCAGCTGGATGTGTGTGCTTCTTGTGTCCGAGCTATATCACCTTCTTGCCCTCATCACATATGTCTTCCTGACCTTTGCAGTGACACTTGCAAGCATGACTCTTACTCTTAAAATCAAGTTTGCAGTGTTTGGGTTCAGAGCCAATAACAACATCTATGATAAGAGAGAATATATATAGCTGTTTAAACTCCAATCATTTAAATTAATTTGAGCACTGATACTCATCCTACTGTATGATATCCAATTAAGTATCAGGGCATAATGGGATTCAACAATCAAAACCAAGGTACTTGATGCATTTGCAGACAAATTGATGCATTTATTCCAGCTCGATGAAATACTTCATCCTACAAGCCTTCTGATCAGTGTCACCAGTGTCCTTTTCTATCATGTCTGACTGTAATGACAAATAGACAAATATAACATCTGTTGGGTCTGAGCTCTACCTCATGAGCTGGACATCAAATATGTTGGATTTCGGTTGTCTATCAATTTATTGGCTATCATAAATTAAGAAAATATTAATAGTAAAAATATTAATAGTAAATAACAACTTTAAAATTAATTAAAGTCCTCGGGGCATCAGCTTAAACTAATAGGCAAAATAGCCAATATGGTTTTAGTCTCAATTTATTACCATTAATCTGGAACTCTGATTAACCATTATCTTACTAACTATAACCAAATTACCATATCAACAGTAAGTTAAAGTTGAAGGATTGGAATTCTACCAAGTAGAGGTTGGCAATATTCACGCTTGTGCAACATTAAACACACCAGTAGTTATACTTAAAGGCATTTATTTACAATGGAGCAGAGTAAAACACAATGTCTAATCTAGTATATACAGTGTGTGTATGTGTGTGTGTGTTTGTGGGGACACAAACAAAGGCAAGATGGCCGATTCAAAGTGATCACTGTGACCACATGACCTGAACACAGAAGACTACACAAGATGGCGGTAAACAAAGAAACTACTCAAAATGGCCGCTGAGACCACCTGGGGTGTGTGGGAGGGAAGGTGTGAGTTTCTTTGTTAGCCTAGCTCATGTAATCTAAAGGTACCTGGTTAGAGGGAGGAGATTAGCTTCATGCAGGTTCTAGAACTGAGATGTACTAATATGTGTGTGAACATAAGAGTACCTGATTAACTGTATGACTGACCACAACCTAAGCAAACATTACAACAACCAGACATCAATCAACAAGTACATTAACAAAGTTAAGACTTCTGCTGCTTAGCTATGCTGTGCTGTGCTATGCTGTGCTGGGAAAGGTTAGGCCCAGTCAGTTAACGTTACCCAGTCCTTGGAACAAACAAAGAGGTCCTTTCCAGTGTTGTTGTAATATCCAGTGAGTTGGGAGGCTTCCTGGTGGAGTAAAGTCCTGTCTGGCTGTGTTGCTTTGCTGTTATCCCCTTTGTTCTCCTCACAGAGTTAGCTGTTCCACGCTAACTCTGCTATGACTCCTGTTGCTTGGAAAATCAGCTGGTCTTGTGTTGTGGTTGCTGATTCTGAAGAGAATTTGGTTCACTCTCAGTTAATCCAAAGCAGGTCGCTGTGAGCGGGCCGGCGAGAGAGCTGGTTTCTCAGGTAGCAGGGCTGACCTGGGCTGGGGCCTTGTTGCCCTTTGAAGAGCCGAGAGGAGAGAACAGAAGCTGCTCTCCAGAGCAAGCCTAGAAGAGAAGAGAGAGAGAAGAGGGCCAGAGGACTGGTTTTGTTTGGTGACACCCTTGGGGGTCACATGTCACACGCTGACCCACACTGGCTGGCCAGTAAGGTCTGTGGGGGAAAGGGTCGTCCCCAGGTGTGAACGGTGAGGAACTGTGGAGTGTGAGTTCCTTTTTCCAGTGGAGCAAAGAAACATCTGGTCTCTTGAATGATGAGTCCCAACACATCGGTGATTAAAGATTAAAATAATGTGATGTAAGTTGATGTAAAGATGATGTTGGTCTGCATTACATTCAGTTTGTCTGCATGTTTATCAGCTTGACAGGGAACATATTAGCGAATACAGAGCAATATTAGCATTCATTTAGGTTTATGTTTGTGTCCAATATCCACCCTTCTATACTTCTAGACACTGTCTGCCGGCTCTTTTCACTGGGCAGGTAGTGCCCAGTAGGTTCATCAGATCTTTCTGGTTAAGGAAATTAAATTAATAACAGCAATGAGCATTTGTGGGCCAAAAAAAGAGCTGAAAGATTTAAAAAAAATATCCATAAAGAGGCAGACTGCAATGTATGGAACTAATTCTTCGTGGGTTTATCTTTTTGATTAACATGTTTCATATTGTACATTCATTCATGCTTTAGTTCTTGTGTTTCCCTTTCTGTAAGAAAATGTCTTCTATGAACTTTGTTTCTTTAAAGAGGCAGTGTTTTGCACTTCTATGTTTATGTCTTCTATGTCTAAATACTAGGTCTAAACCGAGTATATGTCTGCACCTATGGCCAAATTCTGATTTTATTACTGTGATGTCGTCTGACAAAATCACCAAACAAGACAAAGACAAAGACTGAGCTGTGATTTCAGCTATTTTTACTGTAACATGATCACTCAGAGAGAAAGTTAGAAGAGACACAATACATTTTTTCAGGCTTTTGCCTTTATTTCAGTAATTGTGTATGAGAGAGAGAGGATGACATGCAGAAAAGGGCCAAAGTGTAATGCGCTCCACCATGTGAACCACCGGGGCACTGAGACAGACTATCCTTCTTATTTAGTCTCTCACACAGAGAGAGCAAAGCCTCTGTCTGGATCCACAATTGTTTAGTCTTTATGTACTTTAGAATGTAACAGACTTTTATTAGAGGCATGTCTTTATGTCTAACTCCCTCTGTTTGATATGTAGAGTTGTTCATAGCTGTTAGAATGAAGCCTCTTTAGCGATGACTTCTCTCTCTCCCTCCCTCTCTCTGCTCGGTGTGTCTTATGTTTAGTTATTTCTCTGCCTCCTTTTGTAATAATGATATATGTAATGAAAGTAGTTTATGTCCTGCTATGAAGGTGAGGCTCAGTGTATTGGAAGAGCTCCTCCTCTTCCCTGCAGTTCCCGAGTAGCTCAGTAGACTGCAGCTTGGCACTCTGACACGCTGACCAGCGGTGGAGATATCGTCAGTCAGCTGGCCAGCCAGCCAGTTAGTCTGTCAGTCAGTCAGTCAATCAGTCAGCCAGCCTGTCAGTTATTCAGTCAGTCAGCAACTTCCTGTCATACATTTGTAGTCTCCAAGTCCTAGCTAAATGTGACAGCTTGACATATCATCCTCTATCTTGGAAGGTTGAAAGAACAAAAATTCAGCTCAAGGTCTATTTAGTCATTTGTTCTGGAGCTTTTGACTGTCTCAGATCATCATCAGATGACGCACCATTCCAGCAACAAACTGTAAGTATAACTATTGGAACTAATGGTTCTGAGCTTCTGAGCACCTCTTACATATCCATGTTGACCTAAAAGTTGAGCTTGACAGTTGACAATGGCAAGTAAACAAGCCACATTTTTCAGATTTGGCCAAACTCCTACAACCACAGAAGCCGTTATAGAAGTGTTTTCTCAGAGAGTACAAACCATGATCAGTTAAATAGCTAAAGTTCCCATTCTTGTTTTGGTGTTGTACAAGCTTATTTTCATGGGTTAACTAGATTCTTTATTTAACTCCTTTCAAAACACTATTTCAAATTTCATCTCTTCTTCATTGCACAGCCTCCTGTCTCATAAAGTTACAGGGAGTGCTGAATTGCCTCATGGACATGAAATGAGGCCAGTCATAATGAAGGTCCTGTGGCAACAGACTGCACACAACATTTTAGATGAGTGCAAACAGTTGTACAATGTTTTCTGTGGCAGCTTTGAGAAAATAACTTTGATGACACCATTTCAATGTCATTAGGGTTATTTCAGTGTGGACACATTTTGGACACACTGCAAATGTAAGTCCAAAGTGAGTATCTACAAAAAACCGTATTTGGTTTAGGTTAGGTTTAGGAAAAGATCATGGTTTGAGTTCGAGTATGTACTTCCTAAAGGTTAGGACCTTCAAGGCCCTTCACGACCTTCGTTGTCTTGGTTACGATACATGAAACATGCAGTTATGGTTGTGGAACGGTCATGGTTAAAACAAACAATGATGACGATCTACCCCAGTCTCCTGGTAATGCATACTTTGTTGCTCTGTATACTAGATCACTTGACCTCTTCCTTTGCTCGTCATAATTACTAGAGGTCATCTAACAAAACTACTCATAATAAGTTGCTTTCACAGATAACATGTAGGCTTATTTTCTGACAGGTGGACAATCTCATAATCTCACATGCGTAGAAGTTATAAGAAACTCATCAAGAAAATAATTTTGCAGGGTCTCTGAGGACATTCTCCTTTGACTAGCTTATGAAATATATAGTTAAAGTTTTTTATTTGGGGGAATTTTTGGCATTACTATGATGAGAGGGGATGACATTCAGCAAAGGGCCTGGGCCAGACTCAAACCCACTCTACCAGCTTTCAAAGTAGCTTCCCCAACACTGCTAATGACACTGACATTGGTAATAAATTATGTTTTATTGTGACTGGTTGCTGCTGCAGCTGGAGCCATATGTGTGTTTTCTTCCTCCTGCAGCTCCACACAGACATGGACCATGGAGACAGTGCAGTGAAGTACACTCTGTCAGGAGAAGGAGCTGGGTCCGTCTTCACCATTGACCAAATTACTGGGGATATACATGCACTGGTGGGGCTTGACAGGTCAGTACTCATCAATCATAATAAAAATACAGTGATATTGTCTGAAGTGCTGTGTAGAGCTTCTAATAGAAAAATAACTGGCATCTAACACAGATTGATCTAGATTGCAGAGATATGATTGATTTCATATTGCATCTTCACTGAAGCTACTGATAAATTAATTAGTACCAATCACGTATTTATATGTGTAATAGCACACAATCGTCTTAGTATTGGAATGGATTGTTAGCAACTTTCCGTGAATTATGTACTGACTGCTTATAAGTTATAAAAGTAAGCCAACATAGGTACTTTGATTTGTCATTATGACAATGTCGGAATAATTTGACCTTACTGATCTCACCATTACACAGAGCAACAGGCCCCAGTAATGAAGCCCCTTGTAGTTTTTTTAATGTATATAATGGTTGAATGTACCACAGACTACATTAACTTCTGTATGGACACTGTAATACCAGCAAGGACTGTACACTACTTTCCAAACAACAAACCCTGGATCACCAGTAACATCAAGACCCTCCTCAACCAGAAAAAGGAGGCCTTCAGGGATTGAGACAGGGAGAAGCTCATGTGTGTGCAACATGAGCTGAAGACGATGTGTTGGATGACACAGCTATTGTGGGGCGTATCAGGAACGGACAGAAAGAGGAGTACAGGGATCTGACAATGGTTCAGTGAATGGAGCGACAAGAACTGCCTCCTTCTGAACACCTCCAAGACCAAGGAGATGGTCATCGACTTTCAGAGGTCTGGGCCCACCCTTCAGCCAGTCAACATTCGAGGGAAGGACATTGAGGTGGTGCACACTTATAAATACCTAGGTGTGCACCTGGACAGTAAATTGGACTGGTCTCTGCACATGGATGCCACGTATCTGAAGGGGCAGAGCCGGCTCTTTTTCCTCAGGAAGCTCAGGTCGTCTGCAGTGAATTGCTGCACATGTTTTATGAGTCAGTGGTGGCCAGTATACTCTTTTATGCTACACTCTGCTGGGGTGGCAGCATGTCCAACATGAACACAAAGAGACTGGACAAGCTGTGCTTGGTAGGGTCCTGGACTCACTCAGGACTGTTGTGGAGAGACACATGCAATGTAAGATGGAGGCCATCTTGGACAATAACAACATCCTCTCGACAACATTCAGCTGCAGAAAACGTCTCATCGCACTGCACTGCAGAACAGAGAGGTTCAGGAGATCCTTTGTTCCCCCTGCCATCAGGCTATACAACTCAGCCAAAGGAAGTGGACTAATCTAATTATTAACAGTTTTTATTATTATTGTTATTATTATTATTATTATTATTATTATTATCATCAACAATGAGCTGATGGACACATGAATTTCCCCTAGGGGATAAATAAAGTATCTATCATCTATCTATCTATCTATCTACAGAGCTGTTTCCAGATTTAAAGCTTGGCAAAAGTCCACTGAGCCACCTTTGTCTAAAAATTACATAGTGATGACATTCTAACTAATGTTTTGCTTTTCCTAACAAGTTGAAAATATGTGTGTGTGTGTGTGTGTGTGTGTGTGTGTGTGTGTGTGTGTGAGAGAGAGACAGCAGAGGAGAGAGAAGCAGTGCGACAATAATAAATAATAATATCAATGTATTCAATTCAATGATTCGTTGACTCATCTTCAATTATGGCGACTAATTGTGACAGCCCTACATCATGCTGCACACTGGCAAACTTAAAACATCCTCATACACATATGCATATGACCTCATAGGTCTCTTATCAGTGACCTACAAACTCCAAAACCTCTGTGGGTAAAGTTCAGGGAACTAAATCTTTTACTGTTACTTGTTAGGAAACCAATGCCTAGTTAAATTATTAAACAAAAATGATGCAGTTGACAATGACAATTAATATGGGATCTTGTTAAAGTCACATGCTCTGCTGAACCAGCCATCACTCCCAGCATCTCCATTAAGATATGTTTTTGACTGTATAGCATTACATTACTCATGTGTTTGCAACTTACAAATAGGTTATTACTCATTACCCATTTATTTGAAGATTGAATACCACTGTGATACTTACTAAAGTCTGCTTGAAATATCACTACAATCCACTGACACATCACCAATAGTGTTGTCCAGGCAACAACTTCTTTTTTTTATGGAAAACCAAGAAGGAGCTTTTACTTTCAACACTTCCCAGGAAGGACAGAGCATTGTTTCAATTAGGAAAAAGGTTGCCACTACTATCAGCCATTTCTGTGTGTATCATGAGTACATTGTGTGTCAAATGAGGAAACACAAAACTAAATTATCAATACTAATTACATCATTCTTCTCACCCAGAAGTCATCAAATACATTTTTTCTATCTCCTTCAATGCATGATGGTATGTGACCATTGATACAATGAATTTCTTACAGTAATGTTTCCTACAAATTGTAAACACCGCAAAATAGTGAACACACTATAACAAATACTTTAAAGTTAATAGCAACCATTGTTATAAAAGCAGCAGATACTCCGAGAGTCAAAGGTAAAATAGGAGGGAGGTGAGATGGTGAGGTGTTGCAATCACAGTAAAAGTCTAACACATAATCACAGTCCCCAGTGTCCTATTAACTAACCTTTCATGTGGGTGTATTATATACATATTATTTTCTTCTGCATCACACATGGAAAATAATAATAAAAACTCACAGTAAATATAGATCCTCTAAAGCACAACTACATCATGTATTGTATAGTTTTCTTTTTGTTGTTTTAATCGTTTGTTGCTTGGGAATATTAACATCAGTGCGTGTTCTATACTTGATGTTTTTCAGGGAGGAAAAGTCCTACTACACGCTGAAGGCCCAGGCTGTTGACATCCACACAGGCCTCCCTCTGGAGCCAGAGTCCGAGTTCATCATCAAGGTGCAGGACATAAATGACAATGAGCCACGATTCCCAGATGGACCCTACAGTGGCAGTGTCCCTGAGATGTCCCCAACAGGTAAGGCTGCAAGAGGCTGAGGACAGAGAACAGATTCTTGCTATGCTTAAATTCTACTTTAATATTCATATGATTATATTCTACAGAGAATACATATTTAATGACCCACTTCAATTCCCCAAAACAAGAACAATGAGCTGATAGAAGGAATAGTTACAAAATGTCAAGCATCAAGGATCCTTTGGATGAGTAAGAAACTGCAACATTCATTATGCTTTATAATTGCACTGTGGGTATTTGACATAATTATCAAAATGCAATGGCACTAGAATCCATGAAGCATTCAAAGTACCGTTTGTTCTCTTGTTTGAGTTGAGGAAAAAGTCCTAGATCACTGCAAGCAAGTCATAAGTCACAAATGTCTGACTGGGGCTGAATTCGAGTCTGATAGTTCTTAATTCATTGATTAATTCATTAAAAATCTGAAGAAATGAACCAGTCTTTAAGCATTTGAAAACGTTGTACATTTGTTACAGCTACACTTTTTTAAAGTTTCCATCATATTTAAAATAAATGCACCATGACATTTTTCAAGATTTTATGTGCATTAGGAGCAAAATCCTTAATAAGTAGCTCAAATTATTTACTATTTACTTTATAAATTTCAGGTTGGATACCAAGCATAAAAAGTGCAACATTCAGAGACAAATCAATACCTATAATAAACTTGTTCTCTTTTTGAACATTTTGAGAATTATGCATGAGTTGTAGCAATACCAATATATTCTAACTATCCCCCCATTTTGTCAAATCATTGGTTATTTAGCAATTTCACTTAACTGACTTTACATAATTATGCAGTGGTGGGTGTAATGATTGTAAATCCAAACCTTTCCTCCAACTTTGACAGTGGCCAAATAACATAAAATTAAAATATGTTTAAACTTACAATAGTTCTGCTCAAGCACTCAGAGCTCTCTGCTCCTTTTAGTGGCTTTCACTAATTCAGCTGTTGTTTACATCCTACTCAGATCTGCTAGTTACTTTAGCTTAGTAGTTAGTGCTGGCTTCTCTCCTGCTCTCTCTCTTGTTCAGTGTGTCTTGGATCAATGGATGAAGTTGTTCATCAGAGTGGGGTGTAGTTGTAACTTCAATGTAGAGAGGATTGTGATGTTTATTATCTTTAGTGATGTCTGTTTTATGGGTCCACGTAGACCACAGTAACAAATATGTAACCTGTATAGGTTAGGTAACAAATATATAACCTGTATAGGTATTTGTTGAGATATCCATATAACATGGCTGGGAATAAGACCACAGCCAGGAAGGACCTACAGTTGCAATCAAAATTATTCAACCCCCATTGAATTTTAGTTTTATTGGCAAAATTTAAAATTTTTCAGGTGTTTGCAATAAACAAATTACAGGAGAACAGTTTAAATAGTTAAATAAAACTAATATTACAAGGATTTTATCCAAATTCAACACTAAATCCTACTTTCAATGATTACTGCAGTCTCAAAAATATTCAACCCCCTTAATAGAATTCCTCATAAGGGCACACATTTGCAAATCAGGTGTGGTCTCAAGCACACCTGATGCAACCAATCAAGGGCTTCATTAGTTGCATCAGGTGTACTTGAGATAGAACACCTCAAATACCTGGACTGTTGAAGGTGACGTTTCATTGCATGTTAGAAATATGGCTAAGTCAAGAGAATTGTCCAAAACATTTGGAGAAGAGATCATTACTTGCACAAACAAGGAAAAGGATACAAAAAGATAGCAAAGGCACTGAATGTTCCTAGAGATATAGTTGGAAGCATAGTTTGCAAGTTTAAAGTTAAGGAACAGTGGCTACACTACCTGGACGCGGCAGAAAGAGGAAGCTATCAACGGCTGCCACCAGAGTCCTGAGGAGGCAGGTGGTCAAAAACCCTCGACTGACTGCAAAAGACCTGCAGCAAGACTTGGTGGCAGCAGGCACTAAGGTTTCAGTTTCCACAGTAAGGCGCATACTAAACACTGAAGGGCTCCATGCCCGAACTCCAAGATGTACACCACTACTGACCCAAAAGCACAAGAAAAGTCGGCTCCAATTTGTTCAAAACTATATAAATAAAAAAAGAGGTTTTGGGATTCTGTTCTGTGGAGCGATGGAAGAAAACTGGAACTTTTCAGGCTGATGGATCAGTGGTGTGTCTGGAGGAGGAAGAATGAAGCATACGCTGAAAAGAACACCCTGCCTACAGTAAAGCATGGTGGTGGCTCAGTGATGCTCTGGGGCTGCTTCGCTTCCTCTGGCACTGGAAACCTGCAGCGTGTGGAGGGAAAGATGGATTCAATCAAGTATCAGGAAATCCTGGGAGAAAATGTCATGCTGTCTCTGAGGAAGCTGAAGCTTGGGCGTCATTGGATGTTCCAAAAGGACAATGATCCCAAGCATACCTCAAAGTCCACCAAGGCTTGGTTTCAGAAGAAGTGCTGGAAGATACTAGAGTGGCCATCACAGTCGCCTGACTTTAACCCCATTGAAAATCTCTGGTGGGATTTGAAAAAGGCGGTTGCAGCACGCAAACCCAAGAATATTAGTGAACTGAAGGCCTTTGCCCATGAGGAATGGGCTAAGATTCCTCAGGAACGCTGCCAGAAGCTCGTGTCTAGCTATACATCACGTTTGCAGCAGGTCATAACAGCAAAAGGGTGCTCTACTAAGTACTAAAGATGCTTGTCATTGTTGGGTCTGACCTCTACCTCATGAGCTGGACACCAAATATGTTGGATTTCGGTTGTCTATCAATTTATTGGCTATCATAAATTAAGAAAATATTAATATTAGAAATATTAATAGTAAATAACAACTTTAAAATTAATTAAAGTCCTCGGGGCACCAGCCTAAACTAATAGGCAAAATAGCCAATATGGTTTTAGTCTCAATTTATTACCATTAATCTGGAACTCTGATTAACCATTAGCTTACTAACTATAACCAAATTACCAAATCAACAGTAAGTTAAAGTTGAAGGATTGGAATTCTACCAAGTAGAGGTTGGCAATATTCACACTTGTGCAACATTAAAGACACCAGTAGTTATACTTAAAGGCATTTATTTACAATGGAGCAGAGTAAAACACAATGTCTAATTTAGTATATACAGGTGTGTGTATGTGTGTGTGTAGGTGTATGTGTGTGTGTCTGTGGGGACACAGACAAAAGCAAGATGGCTGATTCAAAGTAATCACTGTGACCACATGACCTGAACACAGAAGACTACACAAGATGGCGGTAAACAAAGAAACTACACAAAATGGCCGCTGAGACCACCTGGGGTGTGTGAGAGGGAAGGTGTGATATAATCTAAAGGTACCAGGTTAGAGGGAGGAGGTTAGCTTCATGCACGTTCTAGAACTGAGACGTACTAATATGTGTGTGAACATACGTGTACCTGATTAACTGTATTACTGACCACAACCTAAGTAAACATTACAACAACCAGACATCAATCAACAAGTACATTAACAAAGTTAAGACTTCTGCTGCTTAGCTATGCTGTGCTGTGCTATGCTGTGCTGGGAAAGGTTAGGCCCAGTCAGTTAACGTTACCAGTCCTCGGAACAAACAAAGAGGTCCTTTCCAGTGTTGTTGTAAAGTCCAGTGAGCTGGGAGGCTTCCTGGTGGAGTAAAGTCCTGTCTGGCTGTGTTACTTTGCTGTTATCTCCTTTGTTCTCCTTGCAGATTTAGCTGTTCCCCGCTAACTCTGCTATGACTCCTGTTCCTTGGAAAATCAGCTGGCCTTGTGTCGTAGCTGCTGATTCTGAAGAGAATTTTGTTCACTCTCAGTTAATCTGAAGCAGGTCGCTGCTGTTGAGGGGAAGAGTGTTTGCAGGCTGCTGTGAGCAGGCCGGGCGAGAGAGCTGGTTTCTCAGGTAGCAGGGCTGACCTGGGCTGGGGCCTTGTTGCCCTTTGAAGAGCCGAGAGCAGAAGCAGTAGCTGCTCTCCAGAGCAAGCCAAGAAAGAAGAGAGAGAGAAGAGGGCCAGAGATCTGGTTTTGTTTGGTGACACCCTTGGGGGTCACATGTCACACGCTGACCCACATTGGCTGGCCAGTAAGGTCTGTGGGGGGAAGGGTCGTCCACAGGTGTGAACAGTGAGGAACTGTGGAGTATGAGTTCCTTTGTCCAGTGGAGCAAAGAAACATCTGGTCTCTTGAATGATGAGTCCCAACATCATGAAGGGGTTGAATAATTTTGAGACTGCAGTAATCATTAAAAATGGCATTTTGTGTTGAATTTGGAGAAACCACTTCTAATATTAGTTGTGTTGAGCTATTTAAATTGTTCTTGTTTGATTTGTTTATTGCAAACAGCTGCTAGTTTGTACATTTTGCCAATAAACCTAATTTGCAGTGGGGGGTAGTGGGGCAGTAATTTTGATTGCAACTGTATGTGTAGAAAAACAGGCAGAACTGATGCATTGAAGTTACCTTAATAGAACTACTGATGACATTTCCACCAAACAGGTGGAAATGTGGTGGGTGGATAGAGTATTCCAGGAAAAAGAAGCAGAATGGCCAAAATAAACAGGGTTAAGACAGGAATCATGACAATATGTTGGATAGATTGGAGAGACGATCAAATGACATCATCAAACCAAGGGCTTGGAGAAACAAAACATTTTTCATTTTAAAAGCCTTAAATAATATTTTTACTGTATAAGTATATTTGTAAACAACTGTCCTCTTTGTAACTATTTAAAAGTAAGTTGACATTGAAATCATGTCATGTTTTAATTGAAATAAACTAAATATTAACTGAGCTTTTGATCCAGGTTGCTATTTAAGTTTCACTTTGCGTGTGTGTTTGGACACATTAAGTTGTAGTTGTAGCAGACATATCCACATGTTTGCATGCACGCACGTACACATGCGCATGCACACACACACACACACACACACACACACACACACACACACACACACACACACACACACACAGTAAACTAATACAGACTTAGTGGCCCATCTGTCTGCTAAATACCATTACTGAGAGGTAATTTAACAGTCAAGGTCTTAAGGCCTTAAGCTGTTAATGCTTCAGCTGAGACCCAAAGTGCTCTGAGAGAAGCTTGACCTCAGTATGTTTCTGTGAGACTGAGATACAGAAACAAACTGTGTAGTGGAGTAGCTATGGAAGCAAACAGTACAAGCATCCATATGATAAAGATTTAATCCTATCTATGAAAAGTCAACAGCTAAGAATAGATGCATTTCTTACTTCAAAGCTTGCACTTGTTTTCTGTAGACTTGTTGATTTTGATATAAGATACAGTCTAACCAGACAAGTTACAGACACAGAAGAGATGACTTGACAGAAAAAAATCAACAATAAATAAAAGTTATATAACAATAGCAATAAATTAAAAGGGAAAATAGAAAAGAAAAACTATAATCACCACCTTGCGGTCATATGCCTCCGCAAACCAGCCAAGTTGCAAGAAATATGGTCGCAGTCTCGGACATGTTTTTGCAGAACATTATGATGTCACAGGGAAGTTGACCTTTTACCATTTGGATAAGTAAACATGTTTTGTGAGGTCACAATGACCTTTGACCACCAAATTCTCTTCAGTTCATCTTTGAGTCCAAGTGAATGTTTCTGAAGAAATTCCAGCAAGGTGGTCTTAATGTATTACATTCAAGAGGTCAAAAACATGTTTTGTGAGGAAGTCCCTTGAGGAGTTCAGAAGACCTTTGACCACAGACATCTGATGAGTACATCCTTGAGTTCAAGGTTTGCACCAAATTTTAAGAAATTCCACGTTCATGAGAATGGGACATATGGACGTTCGGACGTATGGACTGACAACCTCAGAGCATAATCTACCCATAAACATTTCTGTTTTCAGTCAGTGCCTTGTGATCTTCTCCATATACACACCTTCTTAACCCTTACTCATTGCTTTGTTGTCATACCTATAGACTTTGTTTCATTTGTTACATAGCCAGAATTATCTTCATCTTCCTTTAAACTGGACAACAATGCTGGGATCTACTTAAAATGTTAATATATCATCTGCAAATTAGAATTTTTTTTATATCCTGTATTCCATATAGGTATTTATCTTGTCTTATTAACTCAGCAAGACATTCAATTCTTGAAGCAAATAGAAAAAAACAAGACTAGATCAAAACCGAGTATAATACTGCATTCATGTGCTCCTTGGATTGTCCTATTTCCCACGTTGCGAAGTCATTCTCCCAACTTTGGTGTGCTCATGTGCTTTAAGTATGACTGTGGAAGCAACATGGATGCTACAAAGAAGATGTGCTGTTTATTGCTAAGGGTTAAAACAGCACATTGATAGCTGTTTCCACTATTTGTGCTACTTATTATTGTGGATAGTAATGCTAATAAATAACTTTTCTAAGTAATCTAGGTGGATGGCAACTAACGGTTACAACATAATAGGGTATTACTAATTAAATGTTTCCAAAAACTGTATATTTAAGATGTGAATTTGCACCTTTCATCAAAAGTTTTACTCTCGCCCATGTTTCTGCATTTCTCATGTCTCTCGGACTTTCAGGTTGTTGTTCCAACTTGAATGAATGAATGAATGAAATGAATGAATGTCTCTCATCACCATTGCCGTAAGCTTCCCTTGGTTTGGATTCCTCCAGTGTCAGTCGTTCAGGAGGTTTTTAGCAGTAGCTGAGATTGCTGCTAACCTTTGATGCAATAGCTTTTCCTATATGTTCAGGAGGTTTTTACCAGCCAAATTATCCACAGAGGTGTCCTCCTCTTCACAACAAATGGACCAGGGCATTTTAAGTGGTAGAAACACCAGATAAAGCAGGTTCAGGTTAAAAATCTAATTAAAAATCAGAGATTCACAGATACAGTGTTTCACCAACACATGATTCACTGTTGCAGTGATTCACGGAAGCAGTTTAGCCGATACAGGATGTCAGAGAGGGGCTGGGAGCTAAGACTGCTTACATTTGTTTCTTTAATAATCTATGATCCAGATGTTCAGGAGGTTTTTTGACAGCAGCTAAATTATCCACAGGGTGTCCTCCTTCCCATTATAAACGGACCAGGGGATTAAAAGATGTCTCCAGCGGCTGGAAGCTGAGCTGTCTAACATTTGCTTTGCTTTTTACTCTGATAAAATTTTACTCTGACAATTTTGAACTAAACAAGTCAAGATGCAGTAGATTTGTCTTTAAACATGGAATAAAAATGTCCTTGAACATCCATTAACATTAAAGAAAATGGAATAGAATAAAACTAAAATGAATTTCCATGTACATTAAAACTGAGATATGTGGCAAATGCTCTGGAGAATATGCCCCCCCATAATGTGCCCCTGCAACAAACTAGATGTTTAGCTAAGTGACTTCCGTTTCATACCAACCAATGTTTTAGTTTTTATCACAATTAATCTGCTTTAAGGAGAGATGTGCTTTCACAAGTCAGGTAGAAAAACTGAGAAATAGAATTTTAACAAGCTGTTATTATGAAGTGGCTGACAGTAGGCACAGTTTCCACAATCAATTACAGTCACTACTGGGCCTATTTATTTGAGTGTGCTTATTTAAATATTCTTCTACTGTTTATTTGGATGAAGCAACCTGTGATATTCAGTGACTCTCTCATTCATCCCCAACATTGGATCAGGGCTCTCTGAAATTTCTCTGTCTCACCCTCTTCAATGTGAATCCCCATCTCCTTGAGTAAAGGCGCAGCATCTGTGCTGAATGTTTTCATCCTGACTGGTACAGGAACAGTTCTGGCTTAGCAGGATATGGAGACTGTGAGCTTCTTTGTCACGTCCCCACTGCTTTCCATTTCCTTTATACCTCACCTATCTAGGCCTGATTAAAGTAGCCATTGCATCATTGTTACACAATTTTGCCCTGCTCCCGTGGTGGCTCCAGCACTTGTTCTTTTACTCAGTAGTCAGACCCCTTCAGAAAGCCCAGAATCTGTATGTTGTTATATCTTGACTGCAGTTCCAAGTTCACATACTTTGCACATAGTTTAGCATTTTTGTGTAGTAAAAATATGATTGTTCTCTCCACTCCTTGTTTTCTATTTGGATCAACAAAGGTTTAGTGTGATTGCCTATCTTAGCCTACATGTTTCACCAGGACTGTAGCTTCCTGTTTGCCACCAGGAGATGTTTGTAGTTCATTTTTGCTTTTTTTCCTCCCTCTCCTCTCTTTCTTAATTGCTAATGAACTTTCCTTTATACAGTGAAGCTAGTTTTTAATTAGGTTTGGTCAAGTGAGCTTTTCACACTGTTGCCATCAGCATGGCCCCACCAAAAATCCTTTCTTGCTGTGCTGTTTCTTGACAAGAATGGATTGCTCAGGTAAACCACTGTGCAGCGCTTCAAATGAACATGCAGATCAAACATGTAATTACTTTAATCATGTATTTTTCAGCATCTTTCTATATTTAGAAAAATATAGGCAGCTCTATATTTTTAAATGAACATCAATGATAAGCTTTGACTTTTCCATTACAAGTCGAAAATATTTGAGATGCATTTTGATGATGATCAATAAGTCTTCATCTATGAGTATTATAATCCTTTTTTCTAAATCTAGAACAAAGACCACATGTTAATCTAATGAACATAGGAAAATTGTCAACAATGGTTGTTTTCTATAGATAACAAGATAATTAACCAACAGGTCCTCCAACCAAAACAACTATAGGTTGCTTAGGCATACATACCGGACAATTGTCATGGTAAGAATAATTAACATGGTTGTGTACCGGTCACAGTTTGGTTAGGTTTAGGCGCAAAAACTATCTTGTTAGTTTTAGGAAAAGAATATGGTTTATGTTAAGTAAAATACTTCCTTACGGTTAGAGGAACATCATCATGTATAAAAAATAAATAAATAAATAAATAATACTTACTATCTTTCACAGGAAGCAAACTGCGGTCTCCTGTCTTCCTAATACGGACTTTGTCACTTTTTATATAATGTCACCTAACCTCCATTGATCCCTCATAAGGCTTAACAATAAACTGTAACAATGGATCATGATACGCTGCTTGTACAGGAGGACAATCTCTAACTAACTGATCTGATCATTCCTGGTTCTTTCTTCTGTAGTATGGTGCATTACACTTTAACAAGGATATATCGTTGATTACATAAAGTGTGTGTGTGTTTGTGTGTGTGTGTGTGTGTGTGTGTGTGTGTGTGTGTGTGTGTGTGTGTGTGTGTGTGTGTGTGTGTGTGTGTGTGTGTGCATGCGTGCAGGAACCTATGTGACACAGGTGACTGCCACAGATGCAGATGACCCCACATATGGCAACAGTGCACGCATTGTTTACAGCATCCTTCATGGACAACCCTACTTCTCTGTGGACCCCAAGACAGGTGAGAGGACAGCAGCACGTGACATGTTAAAACTTTTCCATTACATCTTCCATAATAAACCAAGAGTTCCTCATACAGTTGTATAACACATGACTTTTGCATGAACCTACAGCTCACACTCCCTGCTGTCTTCACTTTCCTAGAAAGCATAAAATTCAATCAGTCATGACAAGTAGTTCTGAAGGTGGGCTCCTCCTCAGTCCTGCACCTGAATGCTAAAACAAGCACTGAAAGGGACATAAAGCTTTTGAGTCCTTTACTAGACATCTCCACTGAGCAGTTATTACTCTGAACAGGGAGTGTCACATCTAATTTTGGCCTTGAGGAGCAGCATCACTCACCATCCAGCCTCTTTATGAATAGACTGCACTGAAGGAAAAGACTGTTGGAAGCCATTAGCAACTGTGACCAGTTTCCCATTTCAGTTGGGACCTGTACAAGCAATTGAACCTTGAACCTTGCAACACACACACCTACACACACACACACACACACACACACACACACACACACACACACACACACACATACATATACAGTATATTTACATATGTATGTGATTGTGTGTGTCAGTGGAGGGACAGAACATATAATGTAAGATACATATATATGTGTGGTGTGTTGTCAGGGCAAGCAAGGCAAGCAGTGTTTGCAGACATCAATTAGAATGATACTGAAATGGAAATGATATCTCTCCTTTCATCTGATCTCAGCACAGCATTCTGTCCTATAAAGGATCTGATATTGCCTATTTGAGTGCATCATGTAATCTACTGCTGACCTGTGGCAGGAGAAGGCTATTGTCTCTGTAAACTATCTTAACTATAGATACAACAGCTTAACAGCTGAAATGATAGATACAACACCTCAAAAAGCCTGGGGCTTGTCAAGCAGAGAAGGGAGCAGCATTTTCTGGACATTTGCACATTGAGGATAATCTTGGGATCTGGTGGTAATTAGCTGAACAAAGTCAGGCAGGGAAGTATGGGATTCTGCATTGTCACTGGAGTGTGTCATTGTCAGTTAATAGTAAATATTTAGAAGATGACATTTTTTCCTCTCACTGCACATTTGACATGTTTAGCGTTAGTTTAAAGGAATAATCCTAATATTTCTTCAACCAAGAAGGAGTGCAGAAAGGTGAAGATGTCCAGGCAGAGAGCAGCAAGAGAAACATTTTCATCACATAAAAGATAGGCAGCACAGAATCATGAGACAGGACAGGCCCTGAATTCATGTAAAGCTCTGTAATTTCTGATAATCACCAAGATGAAAAGTGGAGCAAAAGAAGAATGTTAATCAATAGCTGTCACAATGAACCTGTAATGAATTTGGCAATGCTGAGAGAGAATATGTTGTGGCTATTTACTGTAAGAATATACAACTAAATCATACTGAGATTTCTACAAATGAAATTTGTTGATTAAAATGTTTTTTTTTATCTCGACACCAACCCAGTCATGAGCAAAATAGTAAGATCTTGACTACCTACCTACTACCTACTAAGTTGCACTGTGGTGCAACTTATGGTTTTCTCATTATTAAAAAGTTACAAAACATTCTGAGGTTCTTCTGATTCATTTGGCATTGACTTGGTTTTTAAGCTTTTACATACAGAGGTTGTCAGGGACATTAAACGTCATCATGCTGAACATGAAAACCAATCTACTCAACAGTCTTTCAGCATTTACAGCCTTGTTGTTTTTATACCTGTGCCCTTGCAAACTATAGCTGCATTTTGACCAAAAAGTTTCTGCAGGAACTAAAAGGTTCCTGTGGCCCATTCTTGTCTGGCCCAGGAAGTCCCAGGAAGATTATGAAAAATTATTACTTAACATTAACATGAACAAAAATATGGGACAAATTGTGCTGTATATATTCAATACGGGACGCAGCATCTTATTTTCAAAGATGGGACGATTCCGTATTATACGTGACGGGTGGCAACCCTGTGGTCCATTATTTTTTTGGAGTCCTGTTTAATTTTTTTTTTGTTCTTCCGGACCTGTTTCGCTGTGTGGAAAATATGTTTGTTCCTTCGGTGCTCGCTCACTTGCTCACTGCAGACTTTTAAACATCGAAGGTGAAATGCAGCGAGTACTCGACCAGTCAGAAATGTTCAGCACTGCAGACCACATTCCCCTGTAGCATTATGCTATAATTTAGAATTTACTCTCATTGAAATGGGGCACCAGTCCACCAGAAGAGAGTAATTTTCCACTGAACTTTTGAATAATTTAATTCTATAATTTACTTATAAACTCGCACATCCATCTTCCACCATGGCCACAAAACATTAAATGAAATAACATATAAACCTAATGGCACTAATAATGGCAGATAGGAGTGATACGAGTGTTGATTTCATATTACATCCTTCAAACGTGGAATTAATCATAATACAAGTGGTTAACTGATCAAACAACAATATACACATTTCCTTAAAGCTAATAGTCTACAAATGTGGATTACACAGCAGTTCTTTGACTGTAATAATAATAACATGGACATTCTGGATGTCATGTAGTGTGTGTTACCTTGTGTGAAGGATGCTGACAGTATGGTCACATGAAGGACATTGTCTTAAAGTCTACATGTTACATTTCAAACATTGGGATAGAAGTTTGGGATTGAACTATTACATAGAAACATCTCATGAGTTACAGAACAGTTAAATATTTAATTTTACATTCTTCCTTAGATCTGTGTCTGTGAAGAGAGTTCTGCTGGTCACTACCCAGGATTGGAATGTGGGTTGTAGTTTATGACTCTTATCTAGAGAGGGACAGAGGAAGGGAGGCTGGTGTGTGTGTGTTCATGCATGGCACAGAGAGGCCAGGATTCACACCTTAGTGATAATCAGTCCTTTTGTTGTTACTTGTCATATATAAGAAACAATCAAATATCATTAGACAGAGTCTTATTGTTACAAACTGGAGATTTTGCCTATATTCTCCAGTTGCCTGGTGTCCATTGGTTGATCCTCTGGAGCTGACCCTTTGACCTTTGGTCTGGTTCTGTGTCTCTCTGGCATGCTAAAAGCATGGACTGTTTGAGGGAGAGGGGTCCTTTGTCTCTGTTTCCTTTCAATTTGATAGTTTGATGGTGGGAAGAGTTGCAAAGTGTCAATTGTGGGTCTGCAACTCTGCATGTCCTTACAATGAACTTACTTAATGGCTTATGACTTATGCCCGGCCAGGTATGTACACTACACCCCAAAGTTCCTGAACCTTTTGAAAGTTCTACCCCCCGACCAAGTACCATTTTGGGGCACTTCAGTTACCCCGGAACTAAATTTAGACTCTGGTTCCTATGGTCGAAACGTGCATAGTTCGTCATAAGGTTCCTGGTTCCTGGGAAAAGTTCCATTTTACTAACTTTCTCAGTGGAAAGGCTTTTGTAGACGAGGTGAGAGCCAAATCAAATTACAAGGTGGTGACGTTTCAGTCATGTGACCATGGTGTACTTCGTTGTTATACTTGAATAAATCAAAAGTCAAAAAAGTTTTGTTAATTAGTGAAGATTATTCTGCTGAACAAAACATGTCATCTTGTTTTCTGGCCTACAAAAATATGTCATCCCTGCGGCACTGTATAGGATAGAAATCTGGGGATTAAACCTAATTACATAAAAAACATGACATGGGTTACAGAATAGTTGGAAAGTTCATTTTATAATTTTCCCCACACCAGGAGTGATCAGGACAGCATTGGCCAATATGGATCGGGAGGTGAAAGAGGAGTATCAGGTTCTTCTCCAGGCCAAAGACATGGGAGGTCAGCTGGGGGGGCTTGCCTCCACCACCACCATCAATATTACCCTCAGTGACGTGAACGACAACCCACCGCGCTTTGCTAAGAGTAAGAACATCTCAACAGTGATGTTTGGATGGGTTAATGAATTGTTGATTGGTTTGTCTGTTAAGATGGATGTTTTTTCCTAAATTGTACGTGGCCTTTCCTCATTCTTTCAGGTATTTTCCATCTTCGGGTGCCCGAGTCTGCATCAGTTGGCTCAGCAGTGGGTCGGATTCAGGCCCACGATTTGGATGCTGGTAGCAATGCAGAGGTGGATTATGCCATTGTTCCAGGCGATGAGGGCAACATGTTTGACATCATCTCTAATGGCCACAGTCAAGAGGGAATTGTAGTCTTAAAAAAGGTAAACACACTCATTATCAGCTGCACATACACTCATTACAGCAGTGGTAAGATATTATGAGTGAAACTGAACACATCATGCACATTTTTTAAATTAAAGTCTCCAATAGATGGGAAGGATTAGGCTCATTTAAATTAAAAATCCTTTAGATGTATGTGACATATATGGTGACACCCATGGGTACTGGTGGGAACAGCAAGTATGTCCCAGAGCTGTGGGGGCAGCAACACTCTATCAGAAATAACACAGTAAGATGGTTGGTAGTTGTTACCTTCATGAGGAGTGGGAGGTGTGCAGCCTGTTACCTGCAACTTAACATCACAGTATGGTTGCTCCTTATCGATCCATTCCATTGTTATGCTTCTGCGTCGGCAAAAGCAAGGGCCAAAGCAAGGGCCAAAGGCATTAAGTTTTAGGGTTGTCTGTTCTTCAGAGGTCAAAGGTCAAGGTCATGGTGAACTCAAATAACACAGTTTTGGCCTTGTGAACACAATATCTCCAGTACTCAAAGGAATACTTTTAATTCAGATTGGTTGATTTGTATCTGTATTCTGATTGGTTAGTAAGGTTTTAGTTGTATTCTGATTGGTTAGTTGGTTTGTAGCTGTCTTGAGATTGGTGAGTTAATTTGTAGATTTATTGTGATTGGTTGGTTTATAGCTGTTTTCTAATTGGTTGGTTGATTTATAGCTGTTTTGTAATTGGTTTGCTGGATTGCAGCTGTAATCTGATTGGTTGATTAGTTCCCTTATTCTGATTGGTTATTTGGTTTGTAGCTGTTTTGAGATTGGTGAGTTAATTTGTAGATGTATTCTGATTGGTTGGTTTATAGCTGTTTTCTAATTGGTTGGCTGATTTATAGCTGTATTGTGATTGGTTTGTTGGTTTGTAGCTGTATTCTGATTGGTTGATTAGTTTGTAGCTGTATTGTGACTGATGAGTTGATTTGTAGCCGTATTCTTATTGGGTGGTTTGTGGGTTCATTCTGATTGGTTGATTTGTAGCCGTATTCTAACTGGTTTGTTTGTATCTCTATTCTGATTGGTTAGTTGAAGTTTAGTAGGGGTGGGCGATATATCGAATATACACAATTAGGGATGTTAATAATTAACTGTTTAACTGTTAACCAACAATATGAATTTTGACAGTTCTTCTCACAGTTAACAGACTGCGCACCAGACTAACCCTGTCGACATGTTGCTATTTCTCAACAACCAGTAGACAAGCTGTCCTGTATGCTGAAGTCTGAGGTAGGCCCGAACTGTTTATTTTATTTTGAGTTCTGAAAAATGCAACTACAAGTTTATGCTTTGTTAACCTGGGAGGAGGAGGAAGTTTCCATACAGCGCTCTCATTGCTGGAGGATTTAATGCGTGTTTTTGTTTTGTTAAACTGTTTATACATTAGCAAATCTGGCTACTGTATGCTATTTATTTTATTTATATAATATTTTCCTATATGGGAGATCTAGCTTGTAGACATGTTCTGATTGGTTGGTTGTAGCTCCATTCTGATTTGTTAGTTGGGTTATAGCCATATTCTGATTGGTTAGTTGGTTTGTAGCTGTATTCTTATAGATTGGTTTTTAGCTGTATTCTGATTGGTTGCCTTGTAGCCAAAATTTAATTGGTTGATTTACAGCCATATTCTTATTGTTTCATTGGTAGCTGTATTCTGATTAGCTGATTTGTTGTTGTATTCTGATTGGTTGATTTGTAGCCATATTCTGATTGGTTGGTTGGTTTGTAGCCATATTCTGATTGATTGATTGACTTTATTGTCCAACTCAGTGGATATTTATCTTCGGCTTCTGCCAAAGGAGGTACAATAAAAATAGGTATAATCCACATGAGAAGACATGCCATTATAAAAATGTAACATGTACAACATACAATTGTGCAAATGAGCAGGTAGCAGCAGATACGTTAAATAGATAAATAAATAAATTAAAAAAACAGAGAGCAAACCTTATAAAATAAGAAACAAGTGTTCTCAGATACAGTCATTTTGTGTTAGGTGCCTGTATGGCATAGGGAATAAAAAACTTCTTGTATATGTTCCAGCTGGCCCTTGGTAGGTAGGTGTATTCAAAATTTAGGTGTAATTTGTTTTTATCCATTATGTCTTTGGGTCCATCTGACCATCCATCTGTCCCATTCTCGTGAATACGATATCTCAGTAATGCTTTGGGGGAATTTCTTCTAATTTGGTACAAACATTCCCTTGATCTCAAGGATGAAGTAATTACAGTTTGGTGGTCAGGGGTTAAAGTTCATGGGCACGTGACCTCACAAAATATGTTTTTGGCCTTGTGAACGCAATATGTGAGTGATGTCTTGGGGGTATTTCTTCAAATTTGGCACAAACGTTCACCTGGACTCAAAGATAAACTGGTTAGATTTTGGTGGTTAAAGGTCAAAGGACAAAATCATGGTGACATCACAAAGCATGATTTTAGCCTTGTGAATACAATATCTCAGGATTCTTCAAGAGAATCCCTTCAACTTTGACACAAATGTCCAGTTGGACTCAAGGATGAACTGCTTAGATTTTGGTGGTCAAAGATCTAGGTCACTGTGACCACACGAAACATGTTTTTAGTCATAACTCAAGAATTCACGTAGCAATTATGACAAAATATCACACAAATGGTAAATATTTTATGACTCTGGATAAACAGGGATGTAACCTGAAACTTGTCTGAGTGACAGAGGCATACCACCACGGTATTAATTATAGTTTTGTTCATGTTTTTTAATTAACAATTACTGTCAGCACCTATAACTGTATATAAAGATGCAAAATGTGTCTCCACTTCCTCCCACTGTCCAAAATTGAAGCCAAAATATCCTGGAGATGAGTGCTTCCCTCTAGTGCAATGAAGATGTTTTACCTTCACTTTTGGGGAGCTGTGATGTTGTCCATCTCTATATACAGTCATTGGTCAGCACTAACTTTGGTCAATTACAAATATATTGAGTTTCCTGTGACTACTTTGCAACAGAATCCACCTTTTGGTTTGCTTTATGAACTATTTTATCATTACTATTATTAAGTATTTGTGCTTAAATGATGCGCTGGTGGCAGCGAGTCCTCATAGCTCATAGTTTTTTTGCAGTATATTAGTATATTTTTTGTTGATTGACATCTTTATTATACGTTGTTGTTTTGTCTGATGATGAAGAAAATAATGTACATGAAGGAAGAACTCCTGTCTTTAAAGTGTACCAAATATGGAATTAAACATCCCATACCTACTGAGCTGAAGAAGCTATACCAAGGAGACTGTCAGGCCACATTTTCTCTCTCTCTCTCTCTGTATTGTCAAGTGTTCAAAATCACATTCTTCATTCTTGCAACAGCATTTTTCTTGTGATCTGCTGTCAGTGATCTAAGAGTTGGAGGAATGTGCTGATCTGGCTGTGATCGCAAACATTCTACCTCTAAACCTTCCCTTGAACCAAGCTATTAGACCAGATAATGCCTTTGACACACAAAGGCATTACACACACACTCTCATGCACACAGTTTTCATTTTGCAGTGTCAGCCATTGGGTTCCCCTGATGATGTGTGATACATATCGAGGAGGAGGAATATGGAGAGAAAAGAAAGAATCAAGAAGAGAAGTCATACGTTTTGTTTACTGTCCCAGATTTATTTTATTTTGATACGATATCCAATCAGTTGCAGTGAAAAAGTCTTGCATTTCTTTTACTTAACATGAACTTCATTATATGACACTTACTCGTAGTGGCGCACGGCATTCAGTTTCACTTATTTTAACGCCTCATAAAGTTTTTAACAGGAAAGAAGATCACAGAGAAGAGCTCCTCCAAAAGGAGTGATCTAAGGACTCAGAAAAACTTGAACTGTTAACTGCTCAATCTAGACAGATACCACCTCATATCACAATCACATACACACACACAGAGAAGCACACACCGGAACACACAGCAGAAATGTCATATCACATCAAGCAGAGGCTTTTATTTCAGACTATCCTCTAAATCAGAGCAGACAGGACAGCCATTTTTTGAGCAAGAAACCTGCCCAGCTATGTCTCTTATTTTAGAAATGAGATAGCCCATACATCCATGGTTTTCAGCACCAACATTTAGTTCTCTCTCATTGGCTAGGTTGGCTTACATTGCCTATTGATCTCTGCAGATTTTTCAAAGTACTGATATGACTTGTCTTCAAATATATATAGATATTAGATACATATTAGATGAGTAGAGGTAGATTAGTGATGTTAATCAGCTTGTTGATTGGGTTTCCAGTTGCTCTCTGCTGTCCTGTGTTCACCATTTTACAGCAGACATGATAGCAAATCAGTTTCATATATATCTTCATTGTCATTGTCGCTAATTGTGTTAGAGTGCAGACTGAGTGTTGGTCTGTTTGTTGATACTCAGTGTTTGTCATTGAGAATTGTCCAACCAACAGAACAGATTCAAAGGCTGAATAATAGTCCTGCTATCACACATTTCCTGCAGACAGTAAGAGTTGAGTAATCTCAGTCTCACATTTGAGCTTTTAACAACTTTCCCACTTCATTCACTGTAATGTCTTGTGTATACAGATGTACAAATTATGTGGATTATTGTGAGAATTTGTCAATAAATGCTTACTTCTAATGCACATTTTTCAATAAAATGATTTAATAGGCTGATATGATACCTGTTGAATCTATGTATACAGTATATAGACAAGAATGTGAATAATTAGCTGAAGGAAATTTATTATTTATGATATTTCTGATGTGATTATATTTCATATCATGTGGTACCATTTCAAGCTGACTAAGATTTCTAAATGGATTTCCACATTCAGGGCTCCAGACTAACTTTTCCTGGTTACACTAGTTTGGTGCACATGATTTGGTAGCCCCTTTTTTAAATCTAACCTATTTCTTCATGAAGGAGGCTCTGAGGCTTCCTCTTCTTCAATTATGTTAAACAAAAATGTAAAATTATATCACTAGATTTCAGTAATGATGTACAATAACATTCATGATTTTTGCAAAGAAATACTAACTTAAAAACCTGTTATTGAATCATGAGAAAGAGGGACAGACACACAGCATTGTGTGCCATAGTAACTCACCCACACACCTGCCTGCATGCGCATGGCCCGAGAGTAGCAGCAGAATGGGAATAAATTACAGGTTTATGGATATTTCTTAATTTACCCTGATGATTTGAAGAACTTTTTGTTTCTCTGTCTGTCTTTTTCTCTTTGTGTCTAATTGTGTCTAATTGTGCTATTCACACTGTTAGAGACTGTGTATGTTACTCACATGCTATTAGGTTTACTGGGAGATTTAAAATTTTTTAGTGTGATATGACAATATGATATCGATGGAGAAGGATTTCAGCTCCGCCGGTCCCCGCCGGCCCAGTTTAACCCCTGGCTCTGTTATAGGCAGAGTTTAATCGGATGACCATTTCATTCTCCCCCTGAAAAGAAGAGGGGAGGTGCTCAGTCCCAGCAGGTTTTGTGATACAAGAGTGTCAACTTAAATTGCGTGGATCACATTGCTTACCCTACGTACACATCGTAGCATTGCCCTCATTCTGCAACCAAGGGTACTGAGTTAGCTTGTTGTCTCTGTCTGTCTCTGTCTACACCTGCATTCTAGATGAAAGTGCAGGTAGTCAGACCAACTGAGCCAGTGAAGGAAAAAAAATACTTAAAATACAAAGCAGCCTAATGATCATGCACTTGCATATATGCAACCATGTGTCATTTTAACTCACACACTCAAAAAAATAGTGGCATACGCAACCAGTTTGGTTGCAGTCTGGAGCCCTGACACCAGAAGGTACACTCTACACTACTTACACACGTAACACTTACACTTACAACACATCACAGTATTTGATGCTGTTTAAAAGTCTCTTATAGATTCAAGTGTGTTTCTTTTTATTCTGACAAGAAGTCTTAGTGCTGTTGTTTGTTTGTGTGGATCTCAGGATTCAAAGCAACAGACAAAAATGAGCCACAGCATACAGGTAGACACATACTCCTGAGGTTGACATACTAGGTTTGTGTATCACCGGCTGAAAGTTTTATTAGAGAATAAATATAAGCATTGTTTTGTGAGTCTGACATGTTTGGATGAGTCTTCTCCAAGTTAGAATTATAACTGTCCCTCATTTAGTAAAAACATTAAGGATGACAGTGTTTTGGAACAGAGCATATTCAGGATACATCAGAGTACTTTACATCAAGAAACCTCGTTAGCTCACCTGGTAGAGCACATACCATTAATGCTAACCCAGCAGCCTGGGCAGCCTGGGTTTGAATCCAGCAAGGACTTCTCCCCTAACTTTTCTGTCTCTCTCTACGGTGGCCCTGAGAGCTCAATGCACTGCAACTTAAGAAAACACAAGCAAAGACATAAACACGCTGCAAAAACTCAGAACACAACAACTCACCACACATGCAAATACACACGGGTTGGACTCAAACCCGGGCCGCTATGGTTAGGATTACGCCTTCATGCCCCATCTCCCACCGACACACCTACACTTGTGTCCACTGGAAACACTTCCTTTGTGTTTTAGGACTGAATTTTCAGAGTGTTTGTTTATTTGCATGTGTTGTGAGTTTTTTTGCAGCGCATGTGTTGTCAAATTGATGAAGATGCTTTCTGAATTTAAAGCAGGTTTGTGTATTTACATGTGTTGTGAGTTTTTGCAGCGTTTTAGTCTTTGTATGTGTTTTCTGCAGTTTGTTGAGCTCTCAGAGCCATTGTATCTCTCTCAGTATCACATATTATAACAAAGGCCAGAAATGCCCAAACAAATAACTAATGATAAGGATTCTGGTTTATGATGTACTAATGTTAGACACAGGACTAATCACATGTAGATTGTTTATCTCTCTAAAAAATGCTGATTCAATGAAAAGCAATAAATCATCATTTAGGTCTCAGTTTGGAACTTCTGCTGTGCATTTAATTCTTTTAAAATGTATAAACCATAGACTATAAACTAAAAAATTCCTGGAGAAATTTTGAACATGCCTGCTGCTTGGTGTGTGTACTTCACTCCTGACGTTTCAATCTGTACAAAGGACGTTACTTTCAGTTTCATGCATGTCGTAGACATAGAAGACTTATCCTGACAATAAACTGGCCACAATAATGGTTTTTAACCAAAACTGCCCTCACATCTATAGAAAGACATGTACACACACGCAAAGAACCACACATCAACATACACACACAAGTACACACAAATACACTGTGTTGGTTTACCTTAGAGTTGCTATCATACCTGAGTTAAAAGGCTAAGAATAAATTAGTTCAATTAGCCAATCAGAATCAGCTTTGCCCATTTCTGCCACGTCATGCCTGCTCCTGAATTTGTATTGCAGTCAAAAAAGGTGGAGGGTACTCCCATTACTTCCTCAAAAACCATTAAAGATATCAGAATGAGACCAAAACTGGGTGATACAGGATAAAAATATCTCTACATTTTCGATATAAAAATAGTCAATGAAGGTTGGATATTGTGGGATTTTTAAGGATTTGAGGAAACTTTTCAGGGATGGCAGTTAGACTTCGCAGTTAGCTCCGGTTAGCTAGTGGAGCTGTGCCTAAAGTAAGACAGCAGACATCGCTGAAGATGTAATAAACATCCAAATCTTCTACACTGAAGTTACAACAAAACCACACTGAGCGAGCGAGAAAGAGGGAGAGAGAGAGAACATAGTGCTAACTGCTAAGCTAAATTAACTAGCAGATCTGAACAGCATGTAAATAACTGCTGAGTTAGTGAAAGTAGCTAAAAGGAGCAGAGAGCTCTAAGTGCTGCAGAACTTATGTAAGTTTAAATGTACAGCAGGTAGTTAGACACTGTGATGAAAAAACAGCAACATTAACTGTGTTCAGACAGAGCAGCAATAAACTCTACCAGTAACAGAAACTGACTGGAGATAGGACACCACACTGACGTAAGCACGTTAACACGTGAACGGCGTCACTAGTATTAGTTAAAAGACATCAGTAGAAGTAAATCACTGTGTAAAAATGTTCTCAGATAAATGAATGAAGAATGTCAGTTCAAATGTTTCTGAGTAAACATGTTACTGTGTTACATTTGAATGGAGAGGGAGGGGTAAAACATGTTATAGGGTGATAATAATATATGATGAAACTATAAGATTAAAGAACATCTTTAGGTTACCAGATATATCAGTTCCCAGGTGATAACAGCAATGAAATCAACCAATTAACTGTAGTTAGGCATTTTGGAGCCTGAGCATACACCTGATAATTACTGATATGCTCATATACTCAGATGGCAATTTATTGGGTTTATTATTTAGTTGTTGATTCAATTGATCACTATGGAGGATGTAGTGTATATCATATTATACAGAGATGTGTCTGTTATTTAGCCTACCTTCAGTGATAAAAAATTATGAAGGGTGAAGGGTGGGGATGGTGATGGTGGTGGTGGTGTGTGTGTGCAAGTGTGTATTGCAGTCTATGGGAGAGCTACTATGATGGCTGAACAGTTTGAGCTCAAAGCTCAGAGTGAATTCATTATGTCTGCTGCTGTATTTACTGTCGTACTGTCCAGTCTGAACTGTAATCTCTCTCTATAAGCACTAATTTGTAAACAGCTTTCTGCCTGTGTGTATGTGTGTCTGTGTGTGTGTCAGTGTGTCTGTTTTATAAACATCACAGAGATCAAAGAGTCTTTACGAGCTGGTTCGAACACCTGTGTCTAGCTGGAAGACACAGAGCTGACTCAGATCTGGGTGTGACTTTGGCTCAGCGAGCCTCTCTAACCCTGACTGTGGCCAGCTCAAGATCTTTGTGCAATGCATATCTGGCTTTGGTGTTTCTAAAGCCAAAAATGTGGACACAGGAGCGAGTTACAGAAAAATGTCACTTTTTGTGCAATACACACCTATTATAAATCTGAAATGGTCTAAAAATGACAGAAAATGTAAACTGTGGTTTCGTGTAAACTGTAATAGTTGTCAAAATACCAATTTAACCCAAAAGAGTCTCAAGTCTTGTGACCCGTTTAACATTTCAACCATTTTTCTACGTTGAAGTATGACGCAGCAGTAGAGCTCCAAAGTTGGTCCTTTTGAAGACGTCTCCCCATTCATTCTCTATCGGAATTTTTTCACCTTTTATCGCCATTAACGTCGCAATGGTTACTCAAATCACTTAGAAAAGTCATAGCATACAATTCCCAATCGAGCCGCACTCATTGATATATATACAGTATATATTGGCTTGTTTTTTTCAAATTTCGATATGGAAGATGAATAAGACAAGTAAGTATGCAGAATAATAAAATATGCCTTCAATGCTATTGCATTGCAGGCACATAATAATAATAATATTTATATTGAAAGAATAAAATGACTAGTTCTCATACCATACCAACATTTTTTTCTCATACAAAAAGTGGGGTTGTTTTCATTTTGGTGGACAAGACATTCATGTTCTTACATTTGCCTGAGATGTAACAAAATAATGTAAGAAAATTATGTTACTTTTTTTTTCAAGTATATTATACAGCCCTTATATGGTTATGGTTATTTTACGATTCTGATTTTATATTTCCACGTCCCTCTATTACTTCATTCTTGTGTTTCTGCAGACTCTTGACTATGAAACCAAAAAGTCATACACTTTCAAGGTGCAGGCATCCAACACACAGCTGGACCCCCATTTCCTCCACCTGGGTCCCTTCAAGGACTCAGCAACAGTAAAGGTGAATGTCCTTGACATGGAGGAGCCTCCTGTCTTCACCAAGACCTCCTATTATATGGATATGTATGAGGACACTCCTCCAGGAACCATCATTGGCTCAGTGACAGCTCATGACCTGGATGCCAGCAGCAGCGCTGTCAGGTAACACGCTCTTCATTAGCTTGTTTTTTGAACAATATTAACAGCACCTAGTACTGCATGTAGCCACTGTCAAAGTACAGAAGAGAACTCAAACATATTTTGATTCAGATTTGGTATAAATATTTAACCTTGTTTATTCCTATCCTAGCTTTTACCTTTCAGAGTTTCCTAATCAATCCTGGAGGGTTGGGACTCCTTTAGGGAAGACATGAAAAGGTTTCATTGTCTTACTAGCCTGATAGTTTTCCTTTCACAAGCATGAATTTCATTTGAAGGTACATCCTAGAATGTGCCAGGTCAAATTGTCAGTTTTGTGTCCTGATGTCATTGGGTGACATTGATATGTTCTTACAGAACCACTACATAAACTGTAAGGAGTTTTAAAGATGTACAATATGGCAGATGTGAGTCTTTGTTTCTGATTGCCTTTACCTTCTTTGAGCATACATGTGATCAATTGAGAGTTGCTTTTACAATTGACTTTAAGTAGTGGGAAGCTACTGGATATACAGTAGGTGTTTTAGAACTTCTTTACTTTTGAGACTTTTGTAGTGTATTTCTTAAAAGCATCAGCCCTCATTAAATACGGTGCGAAACACCAAACAACCAAACAATTTTTATACCTTGGTGCTTAAAAACAGCAAAACTAGAACTTTGTTGTTCTTAATGGGTTTTCTTTATTGTGACCCTTGTGAGAGCATTTCTCTGAGCCCTTTGATGACAGAGCACCCAGCTCACCACTTGAACCTGTTACCCTCTCATGTGGACTGGTCTTGTCTCTGCAGGTATTCACTGGAATGGCACACAGAGTCTGACAGCTGTTTTGACATTGACACTGTTGAGGGAACCATCTCCACTAATGAATACGTGGACAGAGAGACAGCTGTTCAGCACAATATTACTGTAGTAGCAACCAAAGTCAGTAAGTATTTCACAACAACAACATCCTGCATTCAGAACAAGCATACAAAAATAATAGTATCATTTTTGATTCTATTGTTTCAGACCCTCTATATAAAGCGACAAACTGTCCAAAGACAATCACATCACCAGATACAAAGGTCAATCAGTTCATCCGTCAAAATAACTACCTCATCACCAATGATCAACGAATAACCATGAACCAAGAGAAATCAACACCAAACAGAATAATTATCTCTACATTTCAAGACTGACTGGGTTTCACACAACATATGTCCAAACAGGGTGCATACATACACACATACACAGTGCTACACTCAAAGAACCACCACATATTCAAATACACACAGGCTCAAAAGCTTCAGCGCATAAAGGGCTATTTGAACAAATGCAAAATGTCATTAACCAGAAAGCACATCTGATCCAGACAGTTGTATAAAGGCTGTCACCCCATATATGAAAGCATCTGAAAATGCTACATCCCCATGGGGTTTCAAATTTTACTTTAAGTATTACAAATCTAACTGGAAACAAATAAACAGTCTGACAGTGAAATAGTTGCTGGATGATTGCACATGTTTTTGAGAGCGATGAGTCAACCACTCATACCACTGGTACATAGAGTGAAAGTGAAAGAGTAATCCTAACCCTTATTTTATAGGTGTTTTTTAACTGATCATATTTACGTACTTGCCATAGTCACACCAGACAAACATGTCACAGTCTTCTTCACAGGATTCTGAACATTATCAATCTCATTGGAGTTAAGATAATTTTGTAGGCCATTTTATTACTTTATTTGATAGAGACCGACAGGAAATGCAGCGAGAGAGCAAGAGAATGACATGCAGCAAATGCTCTGGCTGGTCGGGAGTCAAACCAGGGACTTGCTGCTCAGGGTGTTTGAGCCCATGGGGTGCGCACCTGCCTTCAGCACTCAGGTCATCCAAGATCATTTTGTTTTAACCTACAGCCACGTGTCACCTCAGTTCACTATCTTTTGTATGTAGTTCTGGTTTATAAATGATAAAAGGCGCAAAGCGTTGTAATTGTAGGTTTAGTAGCAGCTGTATCTCAGCAAGTAGAGCAGATTGTCCACTAATTGCTTGGCAGTTTGGCAATCTGATCCCTGCTCATGTGTCCTTGAGCAAGGCATTGAATCCCAATGATTAGGCCAGTAACTTGCATGCCTTTTAAAAAGCTATCAAGGAGCACTTGTCAAAGGAAACAGAAGATCCCAACAGCTTCCCTTAATCTGAGATGGGCCATGTTTGTTGACAAGTCAGCCAGATCCTCCTACCCAATGTGCTTAATGAGATTTGTGGGCAGACTCTAGATGACATGAATGCTCATTTAGTATTATTCAGATAAAATATCCAGGTACAGATTGTTGAATATTAATACCAGATGGAAACACAGTCTAAAAGTAAAGCAAACTAAAGCTTTGGATCATATCATACATTAGCAGATGCACTTTGCCCAACTGTCATATAAAGCAAATGGATTATTGAAAGTTGATTCTTGAACTTGGAAACATCAGTTGAGAAAACATTCTGACCATATGATCCATTGAACAGCTTATCTGGAGCTTCTCGTCATACAAAATTACCTTTGTCAACAGATGAAATGTTTTGTAGTTTTGTAGTAAACCACTGCCACGGTCCTTTAATGTCAAATTGTGCACTGTACAACTTTGAATGAAAGTTATCGTCTCGTCGTCTCCCGCTTATCCGGATCCGGGTCGCGGGGGCAGCAGCCTCAGCAAAGAGGTCCAGACGGCCCTCTCCCCAGCCACTTCCACCAGCTCCTCCCGGAGAATCCCGAGGTGTTCCAAGGCCAGCCGAGAGATATAATCCCTCCAGCGTGTCCTTGGTCGGCCCCGCTGCCTTCTCCCGGTGGGACATGCCCAAAACACATCCCCGGGGAGGCGTCCAGGAGGCATCCTCACCAGATGCCCGAACCACCTCAACTGGCTCCTTTCGACATGGAGCAGCAGCGGTTCTACTCCGAGCTCCTCCCAGATGACCGAGCTCCTCACCCTGTCTCTAAGGCTGAGCCTGGCCACCCTGCGGAGGAAACTCATTTCGGCCACTTGTATTAGCGATCTTGTTCTTTCGTTCATTACCCAAAGCTCATGACCATAGGTGAGGATTGGAACGTAGATCGACCGGTAAATCGAGAGCTTCGCCTTCCGGCTTAGCTCCCTCTTCCCCACAACGGACCAGTTCAGCGCCCGCATCACTGCTGACGCCGCCCCAATCCGCCTGTCGATCTCCCGTTCCATCCTACCCTCACTCGTGAACAAGATCCCGAGATACTTAAACTCCGCCACCTGAGGCAGAGCCTCCCCCCCGACCTGTTTCCGGCTGAGAACTATGGCCTCAGACTTGGAGGTGCTGATCTTCATCCCAGCCGCTTCACACTGGCTGCGAACTGCCCAAGCGAGAGCTGAAGGTCGGCACTCGATGAAGCTAAGAGGACTACATCATCCGCATAAAGCAGAGACGAGATCCTCCCACCACCGAACCCAAACCCCTCCACCACCCGGCTGCGCCTAGAAATTGTGTCCATAAAAGTTATGAACAGAACCGGTGACAAAGGGCAGCCCTGGCGGAGTCCAACCCCCACCAGGAACAGGTCCGACTTACTGCCGGCTACGCGAACCAGACTCACACTCCTTTGGTACAGGGACTTAATGGCCGCTAACAAGGGACCATTCACCCCATACTCCCGGAGCGCCCCCCACAGGGAGCCCCTGGGAACACGGTCGTAAGCTTTCTCCACATCCACAAAACACATGTGGACGGGATTGGCAAACTCCCATGCTCCCTCCAGCACCCTAGCGAGGGTAAAGAGCTGGTCCACAGTTCCATGCCCAGGACGAAAACCACATTGCTTCTCCTCGATCTGAGGTTCAACTATTAACCGGACCCTCTTTTCCAGTACCCTGGCATAGACCTTACCAGGGAGCCTGAGGAGTGTAATTCCCCGGTAGTTGGAACACACCATCTGGTCACCTTTCTTAAAGATGGGGACCACCACCCCGGTTTGCCACTCCAAAGGCACTGCCCCCGATGTCCACACAATGTTGCAGAGGCGTGTCAACCAAGACAGTCCTACAACATCCAGAGCCTTGAGATACCCAGGGCGGATCTCATCAACCCCCGGGGCTCCGCCACCGCGCAGTTGTTTCACTACCTCGGCGACTTCTGCCCCGGAGATTAGACCATCTATCCCCAGGTCTCTTGACTCTGTTTCCTCCACGGAATACGTGTTGGTGGGATTGAGGAGCTCCTCAAAGTATTCCTTCCACCGTCCGACTATATCCTCAGTTGATGTCCGCAGCTCCCCGCCCCCACTGGAAACAGTGTGAGCGAGTTGCCGCCTTACCCCCCTGAGGCGCCGGACGGTTTGCCAGAACCTTTTTGGAGCCGATCGATAGTCTTCCTCCATTGTTTCACAGAACTCCTCCCACGCCCGAGTTTTTGCCTCAGTAACTGCCGCGGCTACGCTCTGCCTGGCCCGCTGGTCAACTGATTCCGGAGACCCACAGGCCAACCACGCCCTGTAGGCCTCCTTCTTCAGCCTAACGGCTTCCCTCACCCCTGGTGTCCACCAGCGGGTACGGGGGTTACCGCCACAACTGGCCCCAGCTACCTTGCGGCCACAGCTTTCAACAGCCGCCTCAACAATAGCAGAGCGGAACAAGGCCCATTCAGACTCAATGTCCCCCACTGCCCTCGGGACGCGATCAAAACTCTGCCGGAGGTGTGCGTTGAAAATCATCTTGATGGGTTCTTCCGCCAGGCTTTCCCAGCAGACCCTCACAACCCGTTTGGGCCTGCCAGGTCTGCGCGACGTTTTCCCCTGCCATCTGATCCAACTCATCACCAGGTGGTGGTAGGTTGACAACTCTGCTCCTCTCTTCACCTGAGTGTCCAAAACATGCGGCCGCAGGTCTGATGATACGATTACAAAGTCGATCATAGACCGGCGACCTTGGGTGTCCTGGTGCCATGTGCACCTATGGACGTCCTTATGCTTGAACATGGTGTTAGTTATGGCCAAGCTGTGACTAGCAATCCAATAACTGAACGCCGCTCGGGTTCAGATCAGGCAGGCCGTTCCTCCCCACCACAACCTTCCAGGTCACGCTGTCATTGCCCACGTGAGCATTGAAGTCTCCCAATAGGACAATGGAGTCCCCTTTCGGGGCACTTTCCAGCACCCATCCCAAGGACTCCAAAAAGGGCGGGTAGTCTGAACTGCTGTTCAGTGCATAGGCACCGACAACAGTCAGAACCCGATCCCCGACCCAAAGGCGCAGGGACGCAACCCTTTCGTCCACTGGGGTAAACTCCAACATACAGGCAGAGAGCCTCACCCGCAACTCCAGCAAAGAGGAAAGACCAGCCCCTCTCAAGGACTTGGGTTCCGGAGCCGACGCTATGTGTTGATGTAGCGTGGTGCAGAGTGAATCTGCCCTCCACTACACATTTAATTTGAAAAGTGTTTTATTTTGTCCTGTAAAGAGCAAACATATGTCTTTTACCATCACCGTTCGCCACACACACACATAGTAATTTCACACTCAAGTATGTTTTCTCGTTCTCTGAACGTGTTTGACATTCGAACACAGAAAAATTATGAACATCTACACTAACGTCCAAACAATAAATCACGTCTGTTGTATTGCTATTCCAGACCATTTTCATCATGTACATTCAATATCAACTTGTTTTTCAAATACACAGTCAGCCAATCATGTATACCAAACATTGTCAAATTAATCAAATCAACCATGTATCTATTTTAAGTTATTTATGTATTTATTTATGAACTAGACACGAGCAGTCCGGGCTCTTTAGACCGACTCCTAGTTTTACTCTCCATCCTCCAACTCGCTTGAGGTAACTACGCAACCAGTCCCAACAGCCGTTTTCAGTACGTTACTTTCGCTGACCAAGTAACGTTCATAAACAATACTACATATAACTCAACCGGGACCATAAACTACGACACAACATATTCACCCCTCACTTACACAATTCTAACTCTCCCTTCTTACGTGTAAAGAGCAATCATATGTCTTTTACCATCACCGTTCGCCACACACACACACACAGTAATTTCACACTCAAGTATGTGTTCTCGTTCTCTGAACGTGTTCACGCGAGACTTCCCTTGTCCCCGAACACAGTGTAGCGAATGCGCTCGTCCTGCTGGTCAGAGTTAGATACATACTGCTAGATGATGCTACATTTTTCAAACAATAAACCAACCTTTCCTTATCATAAAACACAGACAATTTTAACCACACTCTGAACATGAGCTGTACTAAATGGAAATTATGTTAAAAATGTAAAAAATAAAAATAATAATGTAGGTATATCAACTCACTGATGGCTCTGTATGCCACATTGAGGTGAGACCGACTATATCTAGCCGGTATCGCTCAACCTCTTCCACAAGCTCCCGCTCCTTCCCCACCAGAGAGGTGATGTTCCATGTTCCAAAAACCAGTTTCTGTAACCAAGGATTGGACCGCCAAGGCCTCCCCCTTGGTCTGCTGCCCAATCCACACTGCACCGGATCCCGCTGACTCTTCCTGCAGGTGGTGAGCGCACTGGGAGACGAACCCATGTAGCCGGTTCGGGCTGGGCCCGGCCGGGCCCCATGGGCCAAGGCCCGGCCACCAGGCGCTCGCCCATGGGCCCCAACCCCAGGCCTGGCTCCAGGGCGGGGCCCCGGTGTCCCTCCGGGCCGGGTACTGAAGGAGTTTTTTGCTATTTGGAGGAAAAAACTCTCACCCCCCCACGGGGTGTGTGCAGTGTTCAAAATACCCAAAAGACCAGTAAATGTCCACACCAAAGAATTTAGTTAAATTTGTTTAGTAAATCTTTTCAACAAGCAATGAACAAATACAGAATTCTGGATCAGATGTGTATTTCCCTAACCAATAACAAGTGATGGTCAGTCCACAGACTTTCCCTGATCCAGTGTATTTATACAGATACAAACAAAGAAATGTGCATGGGCGTTTTGTCGTCTTCTGATTGGCTCTGCTGGCTTCCTCCTTCCCATCTGACTCCGACCCTAAGTGAAACCTAAAACTCAGCGCGCCAAAAAGAAGACAGTTAGTGTTTACACATAAATTACCACTTCTCTACCTCTGTTACCTCCGGCTGCCCCCTACACATGCCCATAGAGTGGTCCTTATCTGTGGTTGTAAATAGTTTCCTTGAGGCAGATGTTTAAACCACAACTCACCCTTAGCACCTAAATATCCACTAGTGTAAATCACTAAACAGTTTTAGGTTTAATAGCCTGAAATATTCCAACAGTACTTGGGTTCTTGATATTTTTATCATTAGGATCTTCTGAACCGTTCTTTGTCTGGCCCTACACCTGGAACCAATCTGCCTTGGGAGACCCTACCAGGGGCAAAATGCCCCCGACAACATAGCTCCTAGGGTCATTAGGGCTCTCAAACTCCTCCACCATGGTAAGGTGACGGTTCAAGGAGGAGTGAATGAAAGTTATGGTATACATAATTAGAACATATAAAGACAAACCATTGTGATAATTTAAATTCTTGAGGGATGCATGACCTATTATAGTTAGACTCCAGGTCAATATGATTGTGCCTCTCTTTTCCCTTGTTTTCTGTACATTGGAGTGCAGCTGCAGCTGTCTTAACTGTGGTGGAAACTAAATTAAGTACATTTGAGCAAGCAGCTTAACTCATTCACACTGTGTATGCACCATTTGATTTCCTCCTGTAAGCTTCTTGAGGAGGCAATGGGCTGCCAAGAATCTGTCAACCCTCTTTATTAGCAGAGCAACAATGTAAATCCTACGACTGTCACATTCAGCTGTAGACAGAAAAACAAGATCATGTTAAAGAAAGGGTGATCCAAAATGATTGGACAAAGGAGATGTGGAAATGACGGTAATCACACAGACACACTCACAGTCGCACACACACACACACACAACACACACACACACACACACCTGGGAACCATGTAAAGTCTGATTCCATCTAGTGGCCAAAAACTGATGTGACAACTGGGATCACCAGTACAGAGCACAGCAGCAGCATTAATAATAATATGTCATGTTAGACTAGGAACAGTTGTTCAGCATTGTTTCTGTAAATCATAATTTATGGTGAATGTAAAAGCTATTGAAACATACAGTATTTTGGCCATATCTGAAACCAGTATTAGTAAAAATTTGTGTTTTACTAGTACAGGTTTTTGTGTAATACAATAAGCTATCGTCAACCATTTAATAAACAGTGAGTGATATTTAATTCGTGATTAAAGCATTAAAGTATTCCCAGTTTTGTGCGTGCAAACTAATGTGCTCACGTTAACAGAGGAATGTTATAGAGAGGTCCTTTTCGTCAGTAACAGCACAGGCAGGGATGACAAATGCAGATCAGAAGACTGACAGTAAAGTTACATTAATTAATAGATGAAACTGAGGCCTGTGCTATGAAGCAAGTTCAACATACTCAGGATATCTCTCCTATGCTGGCTATCCTGATAGCCTGTACTAAGACGCTGATTATCAACTGGCTCAGTTAACCCTGGGTTTAATTGTCCAGCTATGAGCTCGTTCATATGAAAGAGGCAGAGTTGTTAATTCTAAGTACTTAATACGATATAAGAAGAGACAGTGATATCTGCAGATAAATTTGGTTTTAGTGACGTCATAAAGTAATATGATCACATAACTAAAATAAAAAAGAAACAATAGTAATGATTTCCAATTACTAAAGTCAGACTAAGGATATACTGTAAATAAATACATGAATTATCATTAAGTTTCTCAATGAGTATTTTTGTCTTTTATCTAATGATGAACAAACTATTATAAACATGAGATGCAGATAAAACAATTAAAGTCAACGTGAGACTGTTTCTGCTGCAGAGACGAGAGAAAGAAAGGAGGGGAGAAGTAGTTGATGTCTGATGAGTCAGTCTGACTGAAATGTTCATTTATAATCAGGGAAATATTGAACAGTGTGTGGATCATTGTTGGTTCCATAAAATAAAAATTATCAATATTGTAGGACTGCAGTTTTAACACCAAAGTCACAAAACCAAAAGCTATTTGATTTAGTTGCATTTGGAGCAGATTTCCCGATTGAAATCGTGTTGCTTAAACCTCTTCAACATTCTGATGATGGACATCCTTTAACTATTGAATCTAGCTTATAATCCATTAATTAATTTCATTACTGATTTGTTTCTTGTATAAAGAGAAGCTCTACTGACGTCACCTCAAGATCCAACAGCAGCTCTCGGTTGTTCTGTTCTTTTACAAGCTGACTCCTCTCCTTGAGTGAATGTGCACATTTGGTGCTTTGCTGTTCCTAAATGTTTTAATCTGATGAACACACACCCACACAGTCCTTATAGAGGAAATTGTTTAAGTAATACCAGTGGCTGGTGTCTTCCAAACTTAGCTCTGAATGTTGTTTATTTAGTCATGGGTGTTTAATAATAATAATAATAACTAGAAAATCACTTATTCAGGGGTGGCAGTTAGAGTGCGCAGTTAGCTCCAGTTAGTGAGTGGAGCTGTGTCTAAAGTAAGACAGCAGACATGTAGATGTAATAAACATATAAGAATAAACATTACAATCCTCTACACTGAAGTAACAGCAACACACCACCGAGTGAGCGAGAAAGAGGAAGAGAGAGAGAACATAGTGCTAACTGCTAAGCTAAATTAACTAGCAGATCTGAACAGCATGTAAATAACTGCTGAGTTAGTGAAAGTAGCTAAAAGGAGCAGAGAGGTCTGAGTGCTGGAGCAGATCTAGTGTTAGTTAACATGTACAGCAGGTAGTTAGACACTGTGATGAAGAAAACAGCAACATTGATTGTGTTCAGACAGAGCAGCAATTAACTCTACCAGTAATAGAAACTGACTGGAGATGTGACACTAAACTGACGTCAGCACGTCAGCACGTCAACACGTGAAGGGTGTCTCTACTATTAGTGAAAAGACATCAGTAGAAGTAAATCACTGTGTAAAAATGTTCTCAGATAAAAGAACAAAGTAAGAAATGTTTCTGAGTAAACGTGTTACTGCGTTACATTTGAAAATGGGGAGAGAGGGGTAAAACATGTTATAGGGTGATAATAATAAGATATGATAAAACCATAAAATTAAAGAACATCTTTAGGTTACCAGATATATCAGTTCCCAGCAAGATGATTTTGTTGCTGTGAGAACAGCAATGCTATTGCATTGCAGGCACATAATAATTAGGCTGTGTCAGTGAGTTTATAATCATATATTACTTCATGTTGACCCTTACAGACAACCCTTTGCTGTCCATCAAAGTGTCAGTGACAGTTAACATCCTGGATGTGAACGAGTTCCCTCCTGAGCTGGCTGTTCCCTCTGATACCTTCGTCTGTGAAAACTCCAGAGTTGGACAGGTAATTTGATCTATCTGTTTGATAGGATCCGTCCATTGTATCTAACGGAAACAGTGTGGAACATATCTGAACAATTTTATTTGTTAGATATTTACCCAGGGAATTTACTTGATTGTAACAACATGCACCTCTGGATTAGAGGGAGGGGATAAAGTTGCTGTTTCATTTTCCTTCCTAATATTTTACCTGTGAGCCAACTGACTTTTCTCTCTGGGGTTCCCTGGTTCACTGTTCTCTCTCTATTGGCTCCCTGACCAGGTGATCCAGATGGTCAGTGCTGTTGACAAGGACCTTCCTCCTGTTGGCCAGAAGTTCTTCTTCAAGACACCCAAGGAACTCCGCAACAGAAACTTCACTGTTCGAGATTTTGGAAGTAAGTTAAAAGAGTTGTTGGATCTGAGCTGTACCTCATGAGCTGGACACCAAATATGTTGGATTTCGGTTGTCTATCAATTAATTGGCTATCATAAATTTAAAAAAATATTAACATTAAAAATATTAATATTAAATAATAACTTTAAAATTAATTAAAGTCCTCAGGGCACCAGCCTTAACTAATAGGCAAAATAGCCAATATGGTTTTAGTCTCAATTTATTACCATTATTCTGGAACTCTGATTAACCATTAGCTTACTAACTATAACCAAATAACCATATCAAGAGTAATTTAAAGTTGAAAGATTGGAATTCTACAAAGTAGAGGTTGGTAATATTCACGCTTGTGCAACATTAAACACACCAGTAGATATACTTAAAGGCATTTATTTACCATGGAGCAGAGTAAAACACAATGTCTGATCTAGTATATACAGGTGTGTGTATGTGTGTGTGTGTGTGTTTGTGTGTGTGTTTGTGAGGACACAAACAAAGGCAAGATGGCTGATTCAAAGTGGTCACTGTGACCACATGATCTGAACAAAGAAGACTACACAAGATGGCGGTAAACAAAGAAACTACTCAAAATGGCCGCTGAACCACTGGGTGTGTGAGAGGGAAGTGTGAGTTTCTTTGTTAGCCTAGCTCAGTAATACTAAGGTACCAGGTTAGAGGAGGAGGTTACTTCATGCAGGTTCTAGAACTGAGACGTACTACTATGTGTGTGAACATACGTGTACCTGATTAACTGTATTAGACTGCACCACAACCTAAGCAAACATTACAACAAAAGACATCAATCAACAGGTACATTAACAAAGTTAAGACTTCGCTGGCTAGTTATGCCTGTGCTGTGCTATGCTGTCTGGGAAAGGTTAGCCCGAGTTAAGTTGAGCACGAGTCAGCACACAGTCTAGAACACGACGATCTGAGAAAGCGCTAGTTCCAGTGTCTTGTCCGTTTGTAGAAAGTCCAGTGAGTTAGAGAGTCCTAGAGTTGGAGATAGTAAAGTCCTGTCTGGCTGTGTTACTTTGCAGTTTATCTCCTTTGTTCTCCTCACAGGAGTTAGCTGTTCCATGCTAATCTGCTACAACTCCGTTTGCTGGAAAACCAGTGCCTTGGTCGTCGCTGGCTGATTCTGAGAGAACTTGGTTTCACTCACAGTAATCCGAAGCAGGTCGCTGCTATTGAGGAGAGAGGTTTTGCAGGCTGCTGGTAGTGGGCCGGCGAGAGATGCTGGTTCTTCAGGTAGCAGGGCTCTACTGGGCTGGGGCCTTGTTTGCCCTTTGAAGAACTGAAAGGAAGAGCGGAGCTGCTCTCCAGAGCAACCAAAGGGAGAATGAGAGCAGAAGAGCGCCAGAGATCTGGTTTTGTTTGGTGACACCCTTGGGGGTCACATGTCACATGCTGACCCACACTGGCTGGCCAGTAAGGTCCGTGGGGGGAAGGGTCGTCCCCAGGTGTGAACGGTGAGGAACTGTGGAGTGTGAGTTCCTTTGTCCAGTGGAGCAAAGAAACATTTGGTCTCTTGAATGATTGAGTCCCAACACTATGCTGTGCTGTGCTATGCTGTGCTGGGAAGAGGTTAGGCCCAGTCAGTTAACGTTACCCAGTCCTTGGAACAAACAAAGAGGTCCTTTCCATTGTTGTTGTAAAGTCCAGTGAGTTGGGAGGCTTCCTGGTGGAGTTAGCTGTTCCACACTAACTCTGCTATGACTCTTGTTGCTTGGAAAATCAGCTGGCCTTGTGTCGTAGCTGCTGATTCTGAAGAGAACTTGGTTCACTCTCTGTTAATCCGAAGCAGGTCGCTGCTGTTGAGGGGAAGAGTGTTTGCAGGCTGCTGACTCTTGTTGCTTGGAAAATCAGCTGGCCTTGTGTCGTAGCTGCTGATTCTGAAGAGAACTTGGTTCACTCTCTGTTAATCCGAAGCAGGTCGCTGCTGTTGAGGGGAAGAGTGTTTGCAGGCTGCTGTGAGCAGGCCGGCGAGAGAGCTGGTTTCTCAGGTAGCGGAGCTGACGTGGGCTGGGGCCCTGTTGCCCTTTGAAGAGCCGGGAGGAGAGAGCAGGAGCAGCTCTCCAGAGCAAGCCAAGAAGAGAAGAGAGAGAAGAGGGACAAGAGATCTAGTTTTGTTTGGTGACACCCTAGGGAGTCACATGTCACATGCTGACCCACACTGGCTGGCCAGTGAGGTCTGTAGGGGGGGTCAGGGGGTGGTCCCCAGGTGGGGTGTGAGTTCCTTTGTCCACTGGAGCAAAGAAACATCTGGTCTCTTGAATGATGAGTCCCAATACAGTAAAAAGGAAGATTGTTACAATTTATAATCTTACTACTTTATTTCATTAGTAAAGTGCTTTAAAATGGTGATGATGTTTTATAATAGCAAGTATAAAATGACAATCTGAAATGGGTTGCTAGCCAAGAGAATTAACACCTGAATCTAGAGGCTTAAGGAGCCTACCATGAACAATGACTTGTACCTGAGACCATTATTGAATGTCATTCTCTATTCTGTCACCTCTCTACTGTCTGAACTGATAAAGGTATAGAAAAAATAAACATATAAAATAAATAATTATAAATAATAAATAAATAATTATTTCAAGAAGAAAAGAAAAAATGAACATGATCTGTAGGAATGTAACAGGACATGAAAGTCTGAAACGCAACACAATCATCCAACTCTCACCTCTCCATGCTCCTGCATTAGCACTGTATGTTGGACATTTTACTACATTCCACTGTGCTTCAAAGGGGTTATATTATGCATTTTCACATTTATAATTTTATTTTGGGGGTCTAGCAGAAGATATTTACATAATCTGTAATGTGTAAAACTCATTATCTTTCTCATACTGTGAATTTCTGCAGCCCCCTCATTTCAACCCCTGTCTGCACTGTAAAAAAAACTTTTCACGTTTCACCTGTATTTCAAATTTTAACAAAACTAACTAAAAATAAAGTATTCTTTATTGAGAAATATCACTGTCAAATACATAAAAATGGTATTACAGTCCATCTGTGCAACATTTTGGGTGCACATTCCTACCAGAACACATACAGACCTTGTAATGTCACACACCCTGGCCAGTGGCTGGGGCTGGCTGGCAGTGGTCTCCCTTCCCTGAGAGGAAAGCTGGCTTCTGTGTGGGGCTGCCTTGTGTCCGGTTCTGAGGCTCCTGGGCCACAGAGCTCCAGTTGGAGCTCCACTGTCCCAACCTTTAGAGACAAATGATTTCAATTCTTAACCAACCAGGTTGTCAGTGATGCATCAATACAAAAACAGCACTCTACGTAAATGTAACTTGTAAATCTGTAAATAGCTAAAGCTACGATACAAAATATCTAATCTACTGATTATAAAATAACAAGTTATTTTTGTGAATAAAATATATTAATTACAATTTGACAAGAATTCCTTGTGAAATTAAAAAGGTACAAAATAAAATATTACCTTGTAAATCTCTAAGCATAAAAGTATAAAAAAAACTTTAGAATTTAAATTTGTAGGTCTGACAGAATATCCAATCTAATTTAATCTGGCAAATACAGCCTATCTTGTAATAATGTTTTTACATCTAGTATTCCCCTTATTCTAGTATAGGGTTAGGGTGCTTTCATTAGGGGGCAGCACAAAGGGATACAGCTTTTGCCACTCACTCTTCCCACTCATTTTGAAATGGCAGAATAAGTTTTTCTCTGGTGTAATAAGTAAGTTTTTATTGGTGCAAAAAAAAGGAAAGACTTTTTCTTGCTATAGAGAATTTCATCAGCCTTTTTATGATAATAATAATGACTAGAAAATTCCTGGAGAAATTTTTAATGTGCCTGCTGCGTGTACGTCACTCCTCTCATTTCAATCTGTACAAATGACGTTACTTTCATTTTCATTCATGTCTTAGAGACTTATCCTGACACTAACCTAAGTCACTGCAGATGTCCCTTAAAAAGCCTTTTGATGCTGTTACGACTGGCCAAAATAACCTCACACTGATCACACTGAGTAGTTTGAAAATCCAAATTTGTCCCCACAACCATAGCAAGACATGTTTACACACATGTACATGCCCTAACAGAAATTGATCTGCAATAAAGATATACCTCTATATCCCCATATAGACGATAGCTTCTAAGATCATACTATTATGAACTACTTTACCTCAGACCTTTTGAGACTCTTATTTTAAAAGTGTCTGTGCTTCTGTGTTTTGCAGTATGAATTGCATAAGGTTTTGTACAACAGAGCCAATAATTCACTCTTACCATGTTGAGACTTTTATTAATTAGTTAATCCAGTTCATGGAAATGGTGTTTGTGTATTTCTGTCAATTTGTGTGTGTGTTTGTGTGTAGGGGTAGAGCTGCCCAACAGAACCTCCAGTGAGTTCTTTTTACCTTGTTGAGACACTTATTTTGAAGGTGAATATCGAAAAAGTAAGATGGTGTTTGTGTGTGTCTGTCAATGTGCGTGTGTGGCTGTCTACCATAGAGCCTCCAAAATGCTTGTGTTACCAGGTTGAGACACTTATACAGTTAATATCCATATGACAGTGATAGAGTTTGTGTGTCTTTCAACCTTCAAACTGCCCTTTGAAGTTGTCAGGACCGGCCAAAAAGACCTCACAATAATGGTTTTTAACCAAAATTGTCCTCACAATTATAAAAAGACATGTACAAAACATGCAAAGAACCATACATCAACACGCACAAACAAGTACACACAAATACACTGTGTTGATTTATCTTAGAGTTGCTGTCATACATGAGTTAAAAGGCTAAATATTAATGAGTTTAATTAGCAAATCAGAATCAGCTTTGCCCATTTCTGCCCAGTAACACTTGCTCCTGAATTTGTATTTCGGTCAGTGGGAGAGGTGGAGGGTACTCACATCACTTCCTCAAAAACTGTAAAAGATATCAGAATGAGACCCAAACTGGGGGATACAGGACAAAAAAAATCTCTACATTTTTGATATAAAAATTGTAAATGAAGGTTGGAAAT